CTGTAAACAACGTTTACGGCGCTTTACCTCGATGGGTCCCTCCAAGCACTGCCTATGGACAACATACCACTGCTTAATAATCAGGTAGACTGAATAGTAAGTTTGTCCGACCAAATCACTTCAAAACATCGGACCTCGAATGGCTCTACGCCGATGATCTTGCACTGCTCTTTGGTTCACACCTGCAGAACCTTCAACACATCTAGCGACTGTTCCGGCTGTATAACGAATAGTTGAGAGAACTGAAAAGAAAAATGGATGCGCCCAATACATTCGATTGCTTAGTGTATTACTTACGCAACGGCTCAAAGGTGAATAGGGGGGTTTTAATACGAACGGTTGCAAAAATCTGAAAAGAGGTTGTCTTTTCCAATAGGATAGTGTGCAAAGCTAATTGTTATGAACCAACCAGTGTTACGGTCATTAGTAACATAGCAGGTAGTGGAACGTTTTCGTAAAACTCCCTAAAGAAGCGGTTCGTGTGACGACCAAGATTCCCAAGAACACCGAATATACTGTTGGATATGACGTCGGAGAAAACATCCATCAACGATATTTCAGCTACCACAGAGACCGTCTGGGACTGAAAGAAGAATTCTTCGTTCAGCTTTGTACATCAAAAGTTATCCCTAGGTGAATGACTAGATCTGTACGACTCTTTTGTTAACTTAACATACTTCAATAAACTTGAGACAGGGTGACTTCTTCCGGAAGAATATGAAACTTGAAAGATACTCAAGAGACTGTTCCAAAATACTGTTGGGTGCACATGCGTCTTGCTTCCTGTTTATTGCTTCCGCCATACGCTGTGCCAATTTCTCCTGAAAATAAAAAAGGCCTGTAAAGTCAAAACTCGTGTTTCTTATGGAGGGATCACCTGGTAAATTCTGTTATATGTGGTAACCATCGAGACAACAAAGAAGGTTGATAGCATGCATGTCCAAAAAGAACGGGAGCTTAAAAACATTGAAGTATACACAAGTAGAAAAATAAGCATTTTCAAAATCCTTGCTCTCGTGGAGTCAGCTTGGAAGCTAGAAATTTATAGAGGCTTTGTCATGTTCACACATTAAGGCACTGCAATCAGAAATTGCAATCGACCCTTCAATGAGTGATTGTGTAAACGAGGCGTTGGCTTTCAGTTCTAGAAGTATGACACTCCTTTTAACAAAAGTTCGTAGCAATAAGGCTGCA